GCCTGATTACCTGGTCCTTGACTTGTTTTCCTCCTAAATGTGGCTGTAAAAACAGTTTTCGGGTCAGATTTGGCTTTCGCTGCTATGTCATTTTCATTTTGTTTTTGGGGCCTCCCTTTTTATCTGTGCATATTCTTTTTCTGGCTCTACGACTGTTCTCCTTATTCTCCTGTCCTTTGCCTTCTATATTTCTTCCATTCCCTAGCACACTTGGTTTTTGCCTCCCTGCACCTTTGGGTAAACCATGGGCTCATCCTGGCTTTTAAATTACTCCTGTTACCCTTGGTAAAAAAACCTCTCCTCAGCCTCCTTGCATTTTGTTGCTACATATTCCATCATCTCATTAACTGCTTCCCTGCCAGTTCTCTTCCCACTGAACCCCGTTCAGGTAGTTCCTCATTCCTGTGTAGTCCCCTTTCTTGTAGTTTGGCTTCATTCGTCCTGGCCTTCCTGCTTCTCCCTCCACTTGTAGCTCTACTGTGTATTCGAAGCTTAAAACCACATGGTCCCTGGCCCCAAGGGGTCTTTCATATGTGATGTCCTCGATGTCTGCACTACTGAAGGTGAATACTAAGTCCAGCCTTGCTGGTTCATCCTCCCTCCCCTCTCTTGTAGTGCCCCTTACGTTTGGTACATGAATTTCCCTCCAGTACCACCTCCATCATCTTAGCCCTCCATTTTATTTTGGGGCCCCCATGTGGGTCCAAGTTCTCCCAATCGATCTCCTTGTGGTTAAAGTCACCCATGATCAGGATTTTTGCCCTGCATGCATGAGCTCTTCTGGCCACTCTACCATGTGTCAACCATCGCTCTATTGCTCTCGTCGTACTCTTGCCTTGGCCTCCTGCTGTTCGGGGTGGGTTATAACATCCTGCTATTACCACCTTGGGACCTCCAGAGTGAAGTTTCCCACTATGTAATCACTTTCTTCTCCGCTATCTCCTCTCTCCAGCTCATCAAAATTTCCAGCGATTTTTGATCAGCAACGCCACTACCTCCACCCCCCCCTGTTCCCTCTGTCTTTCCCTCAGGATTTGGGATCCCGTTGGAAAGTGGATCTGTTATCATACCTGTAAGCTTGGTTTTTTGTAAGAGCTATGATGTCCGGTGATGCTTTCTTTGACTCTTTCGTGCCACTCCTCCCACTTATTTGTTATTCCATCAGCGTTTGTGTACCATACCTTCAGTTTCCTTTCCAACACTGTGGTTTGGGGGCCTGTGGGGGTGGGAGAAACCCGGTGGCATACTGTGGGATTCTATAGCTCGATGTTGGGTGGAGGCTGTGGGTATGGAATGTAGTGTGTTGGGATGGGTGATAGGTTGTATGTTCTGAGAGTAGTTGTGTGTGTGCTTGCCCTTGCTGTTCTGTCCGCTCTGACGAAACCCCTGCTGATCCCCCTTTTCTCCTTTTCCTAGCTCCTTTTGTTTTTTTTTTTCCTCTCCCTCAGCTGCTGTCGTTCTGATTTTGTTCTGTCCCCTGTCTAGGAACACCCTCTTGTACTCTTCCGAGTATTTCAAATCGTGGTTTCTCTTGGAGGATCCTGTTTTCCCCACTGTTTCCGTCCTGAGAATCAGCTTGATTTGGTCGGTTTCTCCCCTTCGAGTACCCCCCTATTCTCTGAAAATTTACAATCTCGTCCATCCCCTCACCTATTTCCGTGATGATTTTCTCAATCTCCTTTCTTCTTCCTGCTTCCTTTCAGTGTGTTCCTTTCCTCTCTCTCCTGTGTGGGGTTGTGTGTGTGTGTGTGTGTGTGTGTGTGGGGAGTGTGTGTTCATCTCACCTAATTGTACTCACCTCTTTGTGATTGCAGTGGTCGATCCATTGCTCCTGGCCCTGCTTTTTTTACTAGTCGCTACTAGGTTCACTATCCTTTCTCCTTGCGATTAATCGTACCTCATCTTAAAGCTATGTATGAATCCTGCCTCCACTATTTCACGGTCCAGATTGTTCCACTCTACTTCCTAACAACTCTAAAGCTGAAGAAATACTTCCTAACATCTCTATGTCTCATCAAAGTTTTTAACTTTGAGCTGTGACCTCTTGCAGTTGTGTCTCATCTCTGAAACATTCTGTCCCTATCCACCTTGTCTATTTCTCAGTATTTTATACGTCATTATATGTCCCTTCTATCCCTCCTATCTTCCAGTGTCGTCAGGTTGAGTTCCCTTAACCTCTCCTCACAGGACATATCCTTTAGCTCTGGGACTAGTCGTGTGGCATACCTTTGCACTCTGTCTAATTTCTTGACGTGCTTAACCAGGTGTGAGTTTGACCAGATGTGGTTTTCATATTGGTGCTGCATTTTCCAATATAAGCCTGACGTACACGGTGGATAGTGTCGTGAATGACTCCTTACTTAGATCTTGAAATGCTATTCTTAAGTTTGTCAGCAGTTATTTGATTGATGTGCGCCTCAGCAGATGTGATTGATATGATGCTTACCCTAAGAACCTTTTCCTTGGGTGAGTTTTGAAGCCTTTCATCTCCTAGCCTGTACTCCATCTGCGGTCTTCTTTGTTCTTCCCAAAGTTTCATGACATTGCACTCGGACCAGGCTTGCAACCTGTCCAGATGCCATTTTTGTCTTACTTGACCCTCATAAAATTGTATTTTACTCATTAGCTTCACATCTTCTGCGAAGAGCGACACCTCTGAATCTATTCCTTCCATCATATCATCACATTTACAAGAAACAGCACAGGACCTAGGAATGGCCCTTGTGGAGAGCAAGTCGGAGCTGGTCGCTACTAATTCCACTTTCTCCTTACTGCACGAGCTTTATCGTATCTCTTCCTAAAGCTATGTATGGATCCTGCCTCCACCACATCACTCTCCAGATTGTTCCACTTCCTGACAACTCTGTGACTGAAGAAATACTTCCTAACATCCCTGTGGCTCATCTGAGTCTTCAACTTCTAGTTGTGACCCCTTATTACTGTGTCCCATCACTGAAACATCCGGTCCCTATCCATCTTGTTAATTTCTCTCAGTATTTTAGCTTTGAGTGGCCTTTCATACGTGATGTCCTCAACGTCCGAACTACTCAAGGTGAATATGAGGTCCAGTCTTGCTAGTTCATCCTCTTCTCTCTCTCTCTCTCTCTCTCTCTCTCTCTCTCTCTCTCTCTCTCTCTCTCTCTCTGGTAGTGACCCCGACATGTTGACGAATAAGGTTTACCAGTACCACCTCCATCATCTTAGCCCTCCACGTTTATAGTCCCCCATGTGGCTCTAGGATTTCCCAGTCAACCTCCTTGTCACTAAAATCACCCATAACAAATATCTTTGCCCTGTCCATGTGAGCCCTTCTAGCCACCTCCACTAATGTGTCTACCATTGATTTGTTGTTCTCATCATATTATTGTGTTGGTCTCCTGCTCTTTTGTGGGCAGTGGGTTGTACATCACTGCAACCACCACCTTGGGACCCCGAGTCTGAAGTGTTCCTACTATGTAGAGTGTAGACCCTTAATTTCCTTCTGTTCCCTCCTTCCAACTCCTCAAAATTCCACTGGGTTTTGATGAGCAGTGCAACTCCTCCACCCCTCAATTTTTCCTCAGGATCTGATATCTGGTTGGAAAGATCATTACCGTTAGCTTGGTTTCTGTGAATGCTATAATGTCTGGGAATGCCTCCTTGATTCTTTTGTACCAATCTTGTCATTTTTATGCCACTTCTTATTCCAACTACAGTGGTGTACCATGCATTCAGTTTCTTTGCCAAAAGTGTATTCTGGGGGGGTTGGGTTGGGCTAGTTGGAAACCTGGCAGGGAATGTTCTGAGGATGCTGTGAAGGTGGGGTTTGTGCTTGGGGGTGAGGCCTGTGAGTATGAAGTGTTGTTTGTTTTGGGTTATTTTGTTTGATTGTGGGGGTTCTGTGGGTAGTTGTATTTTCTGCTCCTCCCAACTCTCTCTTTCTTGCCCCTTGCATCTTTGTATCCTCTCACTCAGTTTCTGTCATTCTGTTCTCATTCTGTAGAAGTCTAGGTACACCCACTGGTATTTTGCTGTTTCCTTTAGTTGTGGTTTCTGCTGCAGAATCCTGTTTTGCACTTTTTCTGTTCAGAAAATCAATGGCCAATTTCTTTCCCTCGAGTATCCCCCTTTTCTCTGAAAATTATCTGCTCAGTCATGTCCTCCTCTCCCGTCTGTTTGATGATATTTTCACAATATCTTTTTTCTCTCCTTGTCCTTTTTCTTCATGTGTCTTCCCTCCTGTCTCCTGAAGCCTATGAATAAAAACTGACATTTTCATTCTCCTCTTCCACTGCTTTACCCCCCTCTGCATCTCTGGGTCCCATTTAAACATAGCCATTGCTGCTTCCCTTATCATTTCCTGGATCTCCCAGTGACCTGATAGCACCTCTGCAGGAGGCCATCACCTTCTTTACTTACAAACCCCTCTCTTACTACTGTTCATGTGCCCAACAGCATGTCATTTTCGTTCCCTGACATTTCCTGGCCCTCCTTTTAGCCTGATAGGGCCTCTACATAGGACTTAACTCCTTCCTTTCCTTCGGTTAACTCGTTGGATATTAGTGAACCTGCTCCTGATGCCATGCCCCTTTTGTTCTTTTGTTGTATATACTGCCTTTGCATTTTTAATTCATTTTCTAGGAACTGTATCCTGGACTCTACAGCTTCAGCTTGCAACTCCCACTTCTTGCTCTGGAAATCCATCCATCCATATTGTTAATTTTTTTTTGTTAGCTATATGTTGGGAAGAAAAGGAGAGTAGTATGTCTCTCAGAGATTTTACCATAATCCATATTTTAGTGATTAAAGTATTCTTGACTGATAGTGAACTGGTGATATGTAGTCTTAAATGATCTTTTAAGTATTCGACAGGCTTAAAGTCTAATTAAGCATTAAATATACTTAATTAGGCTTATTAGGCTTCAAGCCTGTCGATGAGACCGAACAAAAGCCATGTTTACTAATGCCTTTCTCTGATAGTCAAACAAAAACTGTTTACTAATGTGTTTGTGTATGGTTAGGTTGGGTCGTCGACCCGTAGTGTTGGTGTGTTCCGCCATCTCCATCATTGCTGGCTTCCTGGCAGCCGCCTCTCCTAACATAGAGTTCTACATAGTGTTAAAGTTCATAATTGCTGCCGTGGATGCTGGCCAGTACCTCGGCATCTTTGTATTCGGTGAGTCCTCCTCAAGATTTTTTTGCAGTTGAAGAGCCTCGGTCTTATGACCAAAACCTTCAATGATTCATCATACAACTGAGATTGAGGTCAAAATAATTCTTTTATAATAAAATGAATTCTAGATGAATTCGAGTGTTAATGTGTGTTTGACTCTCTAGGAACTAAGACCAGTATTTGTCTAGTGATGGTAAAGAGACTTGAATAATCCCGAAGACAGACGGACACACAAACACACACACACACGCACGCACACACACACACACACACAAACACACACACACAAACACACACACACACACACACACACACACACACACACACACACACACACACACACACACACACACACACACACACACACACACACACACACCACACACACACACACACACACACAGGAGCTGAGCCTCGACCCCTGCAACTACAATTAGGTGAGTACACACACACACACACACACTCCCCTTTCTATCTTTCTCTCCCCCATCTCTCTCGTTCTCTCTATCTCTCTCCCCCTCCCTCTATCTACCAACCAATCTATCTTCCTCTCTCTTCCTCTCCACCTTCCATCCATCTTCCTTTCCTCCTACTCTTTCCCCCTGGCTTTTCCCTCTTCCCTCTCACCCCTAGCCTAGCCTTCCCCTCACTTACCCCTCTTCCCTCTCATCCCTAGCCTCTTCCCTCACCCCCCCCCACACACACACTCTGAAAATACATAAGTTTGTTTCTGGGTTGAATTATGTAAGCTTTCTGTGGTAAAAAAAAATGGGTTATCCAAGAGGGCGGAGACCCAGGGGTCTGGTGGACTAACCCGGGAGGGAAAATTGGGAGTTAGAGCCCAGTAAAATGGAGGAAGAGTGGGGAAGGAAGCTAGCAGAGTTTGGAAAGAAAATGGAGGAGAGGATAGCTGAAGAGAGCAGGAAGTGGGGACTACAAGTTTTAGCAGCAGAAGATAAGATAAAGTGCTTAGAGGAGGAACTAAAAAACCTGAAACAGATTAGAGAGACAAATGACAGTCACAGACAAGGGGACTGTAGGGATCTAGGAAAAGATGAGCACACTAAGATCAAATGAGAGGCCTGAAGACAATGAAGGAGCTATTACATATGCAGAGACTCCAACAGACAATTACAGTGGCAAGGAACAGCTGAGCAGAAAAGACAGTCCACTGAGCATAGGGGCTGCAGCAAGGGCAGGGATTGAAGGCAGGAACGTTTTGATGGAAGGAACTAAAACACCTTAGAAGAAACAAAAGGAGATACAGTGAGAGGAGGAGAGGGAGAGGTCAGTGTTTGTTTACGGGCTCCAAGAAGTCGAAGGGGAAACCTATGATGAAAGAAATCAGGGGAAGAAGAAACCGATCGAAGGTATCATGAAAGCAATAGATGAGGGAGATATGACCCAGGTGACAAATTTTTGGAGAATTGGGTGGTTAGCGAGTGGAAGGAAACAGCCTGTCAAAGTAATTTTCAAGGCAGAATTAGCTCAAACCAGGATCCTGCAGGATCCTGGTTCGAGAGACAAACCGAAGTACTGGAGAGCGTACCTCGATCGCGACAGAACACAAGAAGACAGGACAATACTGAGGGAGAAGGTGCAAAGACAAAAGGAGGAACGAGATGCATTGATGAAGATGAGCAGAACCCGGACTCAGGTGGAAGGGCAAACACACCCAGCAGAAACATCCTGCAGAAGGACTCCAATCACAACAACCCCAAAGCAACTGAACAATCTAAACTAAAACCCACACACTGTTCCCTCTGCCCCCACCCCCCACATCACAAATCCCACCCTTACAGCAGCCCCCTATGGGCACTCTGCCCCCACTCTCCCATTACAAATGCCACCCACACCACGACAACCCCAATGCAACTGAGCAATCTAAACCAAAACTCACACACTGTTCCCTCTGCCCCCACCCCCTACATCACAAACCCCACCACTACAGCAGCTCCCTATGGGCACTCTGTTCTCACCCCCATCAGAAACCCCACCCACACCACAAGCCCCCATAGGCCCCCTCCAGGGCTCCCACTCTCCCAACCCCAATATTCTCCCAGGACCACCGTGATAGATAAGAAGCTGAAGGTGTGGTACATGAAGGCAGATGGAATAACAAATGAGAAGTCCCCAGACATCATAGCAGTCACAGAAACGAAACTCGCTGAGACAATAACAGATGCAGTTTTCCCACCAGGATATCAGATCCTGAGGAAAGATAGGAGCAGAGGGGAAGGAAGGGTTGCACTGCTCATAAAAAACCGATGGGGTTTTGAGGAAATGGAAGGCATAGACGAGATTGGTACAATTCAGTCTGGGGGACATAAGGTAGTCATTGCAGTGATGTATAACCCACCACAAAACTGCAGGAAGCCATGAGAGGAATATGAAGAGAACAACAGAGCGATGGTGGACACACTGGCTGAGGTTACATGAAGAAGCTCAATCGTGCGGAGCAAAATTACTGGTTATGGTGATTTCACCCACAGAGAGATTGATTGGGAAAACCTGGAGCCTCATGCGGGTCCTGAAACATGGAGAGCCAAGATGATGGATGTAGTACTGGAAAACCTCATGCATCAACACGTCAGGGACACTACCAGAGATAGAGAGGGGAGGATGAACCAGCAAGACTGGACCTTGTGTTCACCCTGAGCAGTTCAGACATTGAGGACATCACATATGAGAGGCCACTTTGACCTAGTGATTACGTGGTTCTGATTTTTTATTAGATAGTAGAGTTACAAGCGGAGAGGGTAACACGAGTCGAATGGGAAAAGCCATACTATAAAAGGGGAGACTACACAGGTATGAGGAACTTCAAGCAGGAGGTTCTGTGGAGAGAGAACTGGTAGGATAGTCAGCAAACGAAATGATGGAGTATGTAACAACAAAATGCAAGGAGACAGAGGAAAGGTTTGTTCCCAAGGGCACCAGAAATAATGGGAAGACCAAAGCAAGTCCTTGGTTTACCCAAAGGTGTAGGGAGGCAAAAACTAAGTGCATTAGAGAAGGGAAGAGGTACAGAAGGCAAAAGACTCAGGAAAATAAGGAGATCAGTCGAAGTGCCAGAAACGAGTATGCACAGATCAGGAGGGAGGCCCAGCGACAGTTGGAAAACAACACAGCACCGAAAGTCAAATCTGACCCAAAACTGCTGTATAGCCACATTAGGAGAAAGAAAAGTCAAAGACCAGGTGATCAGGCTGAGGAAAGAAGGTGGGGAACTCACAAGAAATGATCAAGAGGTATGTGAGGAGCTCAACACGAGATTTAAGGAAGTATTCACAGTGGAGACAGGAAGGACTCTGGGAAGACAGGACAGAGGGGGACACCAATAGGGAATACACCAACAAGTGCTGGATGACATACACACAACTGAGGAGGAGGTGAAGAAGCTGCTAAGTGACCTTGATACCTCAAAGGCAATGGGACCAGACAACATCTCCCGATGGGTCCTTAGAGAGGTAGCAGAAATGCTGTGTGTGCCATTAACCACAGTCTTCAACACATCCATTGAAACTGGGCAACTACCTGAAGTATAGAAGACGGCAAATGTAGTTCCCATTTTTAAAAAAGGAGACAGAAAAGAGGCACTAAACTATAGACAAGTGTCACTGCTTTGTACAGTATGCAAAGTCATAGAGAAGATTATCAGGAGGAAAGTGGTAGAGCACCTAGAACAGAACAAGAGTATAAACGACAACCAGCATGGCTTCATGGAAGGCAAATCCTGTGTCACAAACCTTCTGGGGGTTTATGATAAAGTAACAAAAATAAGATACGAGAGAGAAGGGTGGGTTAATTGCATTTTCTTGGACTGCAAGAAGGCCTTCGACACAGTTCCTCTCAAGAGATTAGTGCAGAAACTAGAGGATAAGGCTAAGGTCAGTGGTCAGTACGCTGAGGTCAGTGGTCATGTGTCATCATACCTGCCTAAGCTCTTGGGAGTTAGCGTGGGATTAGTTTGGGAGTGAATGTGAGTAGGATTTAGCTGGTAAGGAGGAAATGGTCACCAGCAGTGATGGTGGCAGCCGCTTTAAGTGGGAAGTAGTTTACAGTTCAGGAAGAAGGAAGATGAGGAGAGTTCATAGAGAAGATGTGAAGGTAGGAAATCGATTCTCTGTTCTCCAAGATGAGTGTACTTCAGTGGTTAGTGAAGTTGAAGGTACCACTGATTCCCTTGCTAATCAAGGTAATTATATTTTGATAGTAGGTGATTCTCAGGTAAGATATATGGACCGTGCATTTTGTAACAGAGATAGAAAGGTCAGACAGAGAGTGTGCCTTCCTGGAGCTGGTGTTGGTGACATAGTCAGCAGGTTGGATAATATTATGGCAGGTAATGGGAACAAGCCCATTATCTGTCTTAGTGCTGGGGGTAATGACATTGGGAAGGGCAGGAGAGAGGAGCTGCTGGATAAGTACAGGTCAGCCATAGAAGTAGTTAGGTCTAAGGGAGGGATCCCAGTCATATGTAGCATCTTGTCTAGAAATAGAGTGGGCAATGAATGGATGTCTAGGGCAATTGGTATAAATTGCTGGCTAGACAGGTACAGCAAGGAACTTGCAATCCTATTCATTGATAACTGGGACCTATTCTTTGGGAAACGTGATATGTATGCAAGGGATGAGGTTCATCTCTCTGGGGATGGAGTGGTTGCATTTGCCAATTCGATTGAGAGGGTAATTGATGACTTGTCTAGGAATTTAAACTGATAGATTATAGAGGTACGGGTGTTTGTGGGAAACAATCAGGCTGCAGCATTAGGGTTAAAAACAGCAGTTATTACCGGGATACCTCAGGGATATGTTTAAAAGACAATATTCAAAATAAAGTTGCTAGTAATGGCAAATCAATTGATCAACAAACAAAGAGAGATAGTAGAGGGCAACGAGTGACTAGCTCCTTTAAGGTTTATTATACAAATAGTAGGAGTCTAAGAAATAAGATAGATGAGCTAAGATTACTTGCAAGTGTAGGTAATATAGATATTATTGGTATAACAGAGACCTGGTTCAACCTGAAAGATAGAGAAATGCGTTCTGAATGCAACATACAGGGTTATAAACTATTCCACACTGATAGGGTCAACAGGAAGGGTGGTGGTGTAGCGATGTATGTCAGAGAAAATTTAAATTGTTGTCTTAGATATGATATAAGATTAGAAACATCGAACACAGAATCTGTTTGGCTACAGTTTCTCGAGGGACATGACAAATTAATTTTGGGTGTGATTTATAGGCCCCCAAACCGTGATAGGGAGGGCAGTAAGCTGTTATGGGACGAAATTCATAAGGCATCTGGATATGAAAATGTTGTGATAATGGGAGATTTTTGGTTTAGACAAATTGATTGGAACAATATGACAGGAAATCTTGAGTCTAGCGACTTTCTTGATGCGGTTCAGGATTGCTTTTTAGAACAGGTTGTGACAGAACCAACTAGAGGAAACAATCTGCTTGACTTGGTTCTTGCCAACAAAGATTCACTAATTAATAATCTTGAGGTTAATGATGAACTTGGGGAAAGTGATCACAAATCACTTAGTTTCAATATATCATGGAAATACCCAGATAACTGCAATCAAATCTCTGTCCCAGATTTTCGCATGGCCGACTTCATGGGACTGAAAAATTACCTGGGTGGGCTAAATTGGGATGTCCTGACTAGGGGTCAGGTAGGTGATCTGGGTTGCCAATATGACGTTTTTCAGAGCATAGTTTTAGCTGCCCATACAACTTTTGTTCCGAGTAGGGAAATTAATCTAACAAAAATTATCCCAAATGGATGAACAATAGATTAAAACACCTCATTGGTCAAAAGAGAGGCATATATAGGTGTATCAAAAGAGGGGATGGGCAGTTAAGAAATCAATATATTCAATTAAAGAGAGGTATGAAGAAAGGAATAAGAAAAGCAAAAGGGATTATGAGGCTAAGGTCGCAAGGGATTCAAAGACTAACCCAAAAGGGTTCTTTCAGGTATACAGAAGTAAGATTAGGGATAAGATTGGCGACATAAGCAAATTTGCTGATGACACCAAAATAGGCCGTCCAATTCATTCTAATTAGGACACTAGAGCACTCCAGGATGATTTGAATAGACTGACACAATGGTCGGAGAAGTGGCAGATGCAGTTTAATATTGACAAATGCATAGTTCTAAATGTTGGACAGGTAAACAGCCATGCCACACATAAACTAAATAATGTAGATCTTAATACTACGATTGCGAAAAGGATTTAGGAGTTCTGGTTAGCAGTAATCTAAAACCAAGACAACAGTGCATTAGTGTTGGCAATAAAGCTAACAGAATTCTTGGCTTCATATCTAGAAGTATAAATAATAGAAGTCCTCAGGTTGTTCTTCAACTCTATATATCCTTGGTGGTGACCTGTACTTAACACTGTGAAGTGTCTTGTGTGCTCCCGTGGACTGAACCAAGATGCCCTCCATCGAGCAACTTTACCAGCAGCTTAAAGGCTTCAAAAAACTGCTTCAAAAAACAATCCTGAATTACTTCTAAGAAGTCGTTTGATTCTAAATTCCCAGTCAAGAAATTCCAATCAATATGACTAAAGTTAAAGTCTCCTAGAATTACTACGTTATCGTGCCTAGTGGCCTTAACAATTTCCTCCCATAGTAGTCTCCCTTGGTCCCTATCTAAGTTTGGGGGATGGTATATTACACCTAAAATCAATTTTTCACGCCCCTCTGAAAATTCTATCCAAACAGACTGTATGTGTTACTTCAGACTTAATACCCGTTTTTATGCAACAGTTCAAGCTATCTCGGACATACTTGAAACAATTTAAAACCCTGAATATGACATTCTGCAGGCATGTCCCGACTTTTTGAATTAAACCACGTCTCAGTTATGGCAAATACATCAATGTTACCTGCACTAGCAACTATTCTCAACTCGTCCATCTTATTCCTAGCACTACGGGAATTAGCATAATGTATATTTAAAGACCCTCCTTTTTCTTTACCCTTCCTGCTCATTTCTGTTTTTCCACTAAACCTATTACTGTCCTTGTCGCCTAGTGTCACTAGTTTTCCAATATCTACCTCATTTTGCCTGTTACTAATTTGAATCCATTACACACACACACACACACACACACACACACACACACACACACACACACACACACACACACACAACACACACACACACACACACACACACACAGGCTAGGTGGCCAAAGACTGCAAACCTCACTCAAGGAGAAAGATCTTGGGGTGAGTATAACACCGAGCATGTCTCCGGAAGCACACATCAATCAGATAACTGCTGCAGCATATGGGCGCCTGGCAAACCTGAGAACAGCATTCCGATACCTTAGTAAGGAATCATTCAAGACACTGTACACCGTGTATGTCAGGCCCATACTGGAGTATGCAGCACCTGTTTGGAACCCGCACTTGACAAAGCACGTCAAGAAACTAGAGAAAGTACAAAGGTTTGCGACAAGGTTAGTTCCAGAGCTAAGGGGAATGTCCTATGAAGAAAGATTAAGGGAAATCGGCCTGACGACACTGGAGGACAGGAGGGTCAGGGGAGACATGATAACGACATATAAAATACTGCGTGGAATAGACAAGGTGGACAAAGACAGGATGTTCCAGGAAGGGGACACAGAAACAAGAGGCCACAATTGGAAGTTGAAGACACAAATGAGTCAGAGAAGTGTAGGAAGTATTTCTTCAGTCATAGAGTTGTAAAGCAGTGGAATAGCCAAGAAAATGACGTAGTGGAGGCAGGAACCATACACAGTTTTAAGACGAGGTTTGATAAAGCTCATGGAGCGGGGAGAGAGAGAGGGCCTAGTAGCAACCGGTGAAGAGGCTGGGCCAGGAGCTAGGACTCGACTCCTGCAACACCAAATAGGTGAGTACAAATAGGTGAGTACACACACACACACACACACACACACACACACACACACACACACACACACACACACACACACACACACACACACACACACACACACATATATATATATATATATATATATATATATATATATATATATATATATTATATATATATATTTATTTATTTATTTATTTATTTATTTATTTATTTATGACAGTGATGGAGACGTGTGCTAGCAAGTACCGTGCAGGTGCTGGTACACTGATAGTCATCCCGTGGGCAGTAGGGTACATGGTAGTCCCGGGCATCGCCTATGTCATCCGACCATGGAAGCTGCTGCAAGTGGCCTACACTGTGCCCGCCCTCTACACCATCATATATTTCTGGTGGGTATTGTGTGTCCCCCTTCCCTTCCTCTATTGTTGTACTACACTGATTTTTTTCTGCTGTAGTACACTGGTTTCTTTACTGATCCCTTAAACACCTTATTATCTTAGATAACGCAAAACACTTTATTCTCTTAGATAACATAAAACACCTTATTTTCTTTGATAACAAAAAAAACATATTTTCTTTGATAACACACAACAGCCTCAGACTCAAGATCGCTGTTGTTGTCTCCCCTTATTTATGGCCTTTTTTTAGCTGAACTATTTAAATTATACCTTTATTGTTCAAATAAAATCTGAAGCAAACATTAAGGCAAATTTATATAAAGCGAGTATTGTGTATGTCGATCTCACACTATGACTCACTTCAGAGAAATATTCTAACGGTACATGAGAGGTACAGTAGTAATTTGTACTAGGATCAAGTCACATGACCTACTGAAGGTGGTTAGGGTACAGGTGACCTTAGTGTTGTGGCAGTAGCTTACTGAAGGTTAAGGTCACATGACCTCCTGAAGGCGGTCAGAGAACAAGTGACCTTTGTGCTATGAAACTAACGCAAAGATCACGTCAACCTGAGGGTTGTCATGGAATAAGTGACCTCAGGACAAAGACAGTAATGATAGTTACATGACTTGATCCTTGTATAAATTACTTCCTGTTTCGTATCTTTTTTTGTGCTAAAAGCGGTCTCAATTGAGATCGAAATATAAATAAATATTTATCTGCCCTCTTTTGTGTCCATTTAGGCTCAGTTGTGTTGCTGATCAGTACCTTTAAAACTTTTCAAGCCTAGCTATACAAAATCATTCGTGCAGGTTATTGCCAGAGTCACCTCGCTGGCTCATAGATCAAGGACGCTACCAGGAGGCTTTTAAGGTCATAAGCTGGGTCGCTAAGGTCAACAGGAAGCCTTTACCCGCTGACCAGGTCGTCCTCGCCGCCATGGAGAACATTTACCACCAGGTCAGTGAGGGAAACACTTAGGTGCAGAATGGCCAAATTATTACTTTCAGCTCTGTTGTGGTACTGATATACATGTATATATATATATATATTATAATATATATATATATATATATATATATATATATTATATATATATATATATATATTTATAATATATATATATATTATTATATATATATATTGATAGAATAGATAGATAGGCAAAACAACCATTGTGAAAGAATAGTGAAATTCCAAGCGCTTCCGTGACTTCTCACATTATCAAGGTCCTCAGTAGTAGTTTCGAATCCTGCTGACTGCGATCTTTCTTTGTATCTACCCGTTTGTTTCTGTGTGGTGCATTGATATAAAAATCACTGGAGAGGTGAGAACATACAAGAGGAGATTGAAATAGCTTGAATCCATGCTTGAGGCTCACTGACGTACCCGGGCTGGAAAGAAATATGGCTTGTGAATCAGGCTGCCCAGTCTATGTGGCATTTGTGTGGCCGAGTGGACTAGAGCGCTGCCTGGGAGTCTTGACCGTCCCCCGTAGCAGTTTCGAATCCTGCTGACTGCGATCTTTCTTTGTATATACCCACTTGTTTCTGTGTGGTGCACTGACATGTATATATATGTTATATATGTATTTTATTAATAGACAGAATACACTGATAGAAAACACAAACATGAATACATTGGTACAATATATCAAAGGTTATGAATCTCCTCCAGCTCCTCCGAAGCCGGACGCAAGCCCGGTATGCAGCATGCATTTCCCCTCTGGATGACCACGCTGAGGCGCTGGAACATGAAAGTGGCTGCCCTTGGATCTCTGGTGGTGTCGATGAGTCTGGAACCCAGTTCTTTAAGGAAACGTGTGGCATGTTTTCCCCCATGATCCCAAGGTCTCTGATCCCAGTGGGACAAATTGATACTGTTGGCTGATCTTGTACTCCTCCCTGTGGTTAGCAGCTCCTCCCTTTCGCCCGATACTGTGATGGATATAGATGTCAGCCAGTGTGGACACACAGGTATAGTCCTATGCTAAGAGCTTGCCATTCTTCCAAGGATAGATGGTGATCCCATTGGGGCGGTTTGCTTGGTTGTGAGTATTGTTGGCTGCTAGTGATCGGGGCTCCCTCTCGGCTGGGCATCCAGCTGTAGCAAGGGTTCTCTTTACGATGTCGTTGACCTCATTGTGTTTTGCATGCCAGCCCTTGGTTTTGGAACAGTTAAGACCATGGAGACCATATTGGTCAGCTTGTGCTTCCCCGCAAATATGCAAATACACATATATTCCGTGTGAACTGGGCAGCAAGGCGCAGAGCCATTACAATACGGAGGGTCTTAGGGTCGAGGCGCGTTCCCATTGCCGACATGGGAACTGTTTGTAGGAAGTCCCCGGAGTGATGTGTGCTCACACACACACACACATACACACACATACACACACATACACACACACACACACACACACACACACACACACACAACACACACACACACACACACACACGCACACACATACACACACATACACACACATATCACAACACATCCACACACATACACACACACATACAACACACACACACACATATATTTATATAATATATTTATATATATATATATATATATATATATATTTATATTATATTAAATATATATATATATTATATTATATATATATATAATTATATAATATATATATATATATATATTATAAATATATATAAAGGGTCCAGACTACTCCTCACCATCACATCCCACAACAAAGCAACACCTGACGCGTCACGACACCCGACTCCGTGAAACCCACCTAATACTCTTCCCAAGAATTAAGATTTATTACTTGTTTAATGTATCATTAAATTCTTCCCAAATTTTATTAATTATAAATGAATGTAATTTATATAAACCAATGGAAATATTCATATTATTTTCAAAGCTGCTTTTTATGAAACAAGATTCAATTATATTCCTGTCGACCATGGACTTGCTTGATACTACTTTCTCAACTTTTTGAAAATCAGTTGGATGGTTAAAATCTCTCACATGAATAAATAGAACATTGGAATCTTGTCCAGTTCTAATGCTATATTTATGTTTTTAATCTTAGTTCGGATTTTTTACCAGTTTGACCTAATAACTTTACGCAAATTGTTGAAGGAATTTTATAGACCATCCGTCTGCAATTTTCGCATGAACCTTTTTCAAGTTTTTTTACCCCGTATTAAGCAAATTAACATATATTCATTAATTGTAAAGGTCTAGAAGCATAATACAGGTTTAGTTCATGGTGGGTCCATGCCGAACATGTTTTGTTGAATAAGGTGATTGACCTTTTTGTTGCAAAATATTCAGCAAATTAAAAAAATTTATCAATCACGTTTCTGGTATATCAGATCACAAGCTATTCATAAATTGAAATATTCCAAATCGACATACACAATACGTAAAGCTCTCAAAAACATTGAGAAAACAAACACTAACTATTTATTAATAATAATAGTTAATAGAACATTATTTGTAGATTTTTTTTAATTTTAAATATTGAATATATTATTACCCTTATAATAATTATTTTCCTATAACTCAACAGTAAAGTTTATAAAGGGCTAGACTATTTACTTTACAAGAAATCGGTTTATAGCACATTCTTGGCATAAGACAAAATATCATCACTAACAACCATTTAGCTTATTCCAGGAGGATTAGTTATTAAGCAATTTAATGTTTCATAAAATTCTGCTATAGGTTACTAAGAACAGGTGAAAAGGAATTTTAAACCAATGTAATATCCAAATTCTGAGTAAAAACTTTTTAAATATAAAATTTCCATCAACAATGCAAAGTTTAATAAATTAATAAGTTTGGAACTGGCAATGGTAATCATGATTAACAAGTTCTTCAGAATAAACTAATAAATCATCACCTGAAACTTTCGTTTAAAGAATTAGTATATCAAAACTAACTGTAAATTTTTACAGTTAAGTCGAGAGCAATTTATAAATTAAATCTATGTTTTTTAACATACATTTAAAATTTTTGCAATCTTTAGGAAAGTTTTTTTCGATAAGCCATTTAGATAATTTATTATAATAAACTAAGAGCTAAGGATTGACCGATTTATGTAAGGTTTGGATCTTTTTAATTAATGCATAATAGGTAAGATGGATTTGGAAGTTATTTTTTTAAATTAATTAAATTTTTCTTTTATAAAGTATTATTATTTAGTTGTTGGTTTAAGGTTTCTAAGGGATTTCTATCTTAGTATGTTGTCTGAGTATACATCTAAAGATTCTTAAATCTTGTGGAAACAATTTACTTTCCTATTAGTATATATTGTCTGAATTATTTTATTTAGTGATTTTAAGTTAAGTTTTACGCAAATAATTCACCATCATTCAGGATGTATTGTAAGGGATATGAAATAGGATAATATTTAATTACACCAAGCAAAGTTACAAATTAAAATATCAGCTTGGGAAGTTTATGTCAATATTCCATATGGAATAAGATTTATGTCTGACTTACGAGAGCTTAAGAAAATTGGTCAAAAATTATGTAGGTTATACAAATCAAAGTATGTTCCCATTGCAGAAAGCTCAGGGAAAAAAGTTACATAGCGCCACGAAGAATGTACCTAACACGCAGTTTAAAATTACTGAAGCAACTGACTGCATTGCTTAATTTCTGAACTTAGAGTCAGAACCATTATTTGTTCTTGTTGATTCTCGGCATTATGGTTAATTATGGCATAACCCCCTCAATCCTACCACCTAGGTAGGCCACCAACCTCAGTAGGACTATCTTTCAGTCAACCAAACTAGGTAACCTAAATTTAGATTTAACCACCAACCTCAGAGGTCACAACCAATAGGTAAGTCTCCTCCGTAACGATCTTATGTAAATTCATATTTGCTATGATTACCTTGTTTGCCTTTTTTTAATTAAGATACATAAGGTAATGGATTTATGAAGATCTTTATTATTCTTTTTGCCTGTAATAGGGGAATTCTTTCTTTTAATTCTGTTAACGTTTTTCTTCTTTTTCTAAAGGATATTCATTTGCATCTCTCAATTTGCCTTTATCTGTAATTTTTCTGCAATTAATCTGCATTTTTTTAGGATATTTACCAGTTTGTTTCATTTAAGACACGGTTGCACTGATCCGTGTTTGTTTTTGTTATGAAATTGATTTAAATGTACCCCATAAACGACATACATATTACTAGTTAATGCCCGTGCAAATTGTCTGTACCAATGAATATCATTTATGTTGAAGGTGAGATCCAGGTAATACTCAACATGATTGCTCTTTAATTTCAAATTTAGGCTAAATTGTGACAGAGTTTAAATAGCTCATGAGTGTGGAAGATTTCGAGCTGTCTCCTGGGTTATTTTGCTAAAACATTATTTGCTTCATTCCTTTCTGATTTAGGGTTTTAAGTTGAAATTCCTCCGAGTCATATTTTGGTACGGTAGTTTTTATGGACAGCTAGGCATATTCAAAAGTGGCCCTGGAAGTGTTCGGAGATTTTAGTTTGAATTCAATTTTACCGCCTCAATGACAAGTTTGTTTTCGATCTTTAAGTCTGTTCAAACTTAACACACTATTTTGGCTTTACGTAATTGGGAGAATTTTCGTCTCGTTAGATTTCCTCCTTTCTCCTTGTTGCCATTTACTCTGTACAACTGATTGAATTATAATCCTGGGATCCAATTCGTGTCAATCGTGTTTTTGTAGGTTTCTGTGAATTCCATTAATTGCATTTGACCCGTGAGCCCACTATGAATTGTTTTGTTGTATTGAATTTGTAAGACCTGTAAATTTGCAAAGATAACGTCGTTGTACCTGTGATAAGAGGGGCTTTGTTGCTGATCTATTTTGGTGTTTTCGGGTAGACCACTGGGACTTGTTTTCCGTTAAGCGAAGTTTTGAGTTGGGTATAATTCTGTCATTTCTTGCCTAATTCTGATGTGGTTGTGGCTACCTTGGTATGGTTATAAGTTAAAACTGGAT